AGCCAAAGAGGCTTTGTAGGCCATATTAAAAATGTCTTTTTTTTTAGATGGATTTCTGCTCTTTCGCCCAGGCTGGAGTGAAGAGGCACAATCTCGGCTCACTGCAACCTCCGCCACCCGGGGTCAAGTGATTCTCCTGCCTCAGCCTCCCAAGTAGCTGGGATTACAGGCACCTGCCACCACGCCTGACTAATTTTTGTATGTTTAGTTGAGATGGGGTTTCACCATGTTGGCCAAGTTGGTCTTGAACTCCTGACCTCAGGAGATACACCTGCCTCGGCCTCCCAAAGTGCCAGGATTACAGGTGTGAACCACCATGACTGGCCTAAAAATCTGTCTTTATCTTCTAGTTGCAATGTGAAGACTGAATTGGAAAGCCAGAGTGAATTAACATAGACCAGATGGGAATTTATTGCTGGAGTAGACAAGGTGAAAAGTGATCAGGTGTTGGTGGAGAAGATGGAAAGAAACTGACAGATTCTCCCTCTCCCTTAATCATCATGTATATTATACAATTGTCTTAGGACAATAAATGCCCAATAAACGGGAAAACGCTATCTTCTCATAGTGGGAGGGGAGTCAAGAGATATTACTTGGCCAAGTGTGGTGATTCATGTCTATAATCCCAGCACTTTGGGAGGCCAAGGCAAGCAGATCATTTGTGGTCACAAGTTCAAGACCAGCCTGACCAGCATGGCAAAACCCCATCTCTACTAAAAATACAAAAATTAGCCATGGCACAGGGCTATAATCCCAGCTACTCAGGAGGCTGATGCAGGAGAATTGCTTGAGCCTGGGAGGCAGAAGTTGCTGTGACACTGCACTCCAGCCTGGGTGACAGAGCGAGACTGAAAGCAGATGAAACTCAATAATAAGTAATATATACAGGCTCAGGACATAAAAAAAACTATCTCTGTATTGGCTTCCTGACTCTCTCTCTAAAAATTCCCACTGCTTAGAAATTCTGGAAGAGGGAGATATTGAACTCGAGTCAGAGAGACCTGAGTTCTCATCTTGATTTGGTTACTTAATATGTTAAGTATGTAATTAATTAATTTCTCTGATCTTAAGATTCTTCTTCTGTGAAATGGAATAATAAATATTTCATAGCATTGTCATAAGAATTAAATTAGGCAATATATGTATATACATATACCTTTAGTTAATTTAGGTAACAGAAAACTGACTTAAAAGGACTTAAACAATAAAATTATTATCTAATATACCGGTAAGTCCTAAGATAAGGCAGATTTCAAGGTTGATTGACTTACTAGCCTAATTAATTTATTCTCAACTCTCTTCTCCATCATCCTTAATGTACTGGGTCTTTCTTGAGCTAGTTCCCCTTAGAGTTATGAGTTAGAACTATCACATTTAAAGAGAGGAATATCTAAACATAAAAAGGAAATATCTGCAATATTGCATACTTAGGTGTGAAACACTTTAACCAACAATTACAGATTTATATCTCATTAAGTAGAACTAACTATAATGTAAGATACACAATAATATGACTTTGTGTTTGTTTTGTTTACTGCTGTACCCCTAACATTCAAATAGTGGTTAGGACTCAATAACTATTAATTGTTTGAATAGACCACACGTCTAAACCTATTCCAGCCATTAGAAAGCAAAGTGAGATTATCATGTATTGGCACTTTTTCTATAAAGGGAAAAATGATAGCATAGGCTTTGTGGGCCACATGCAGTCTCTGTAACACACTAGTCTTCTTTTTGCAAACTTGTAAAAACATTAAAAAATAAATCCTTATCTTATGGCTCTTACAATCACAGGCCTAGGACTGAATAGCCCATAGGCCATAGTTTACTGCCCCTTGGGTTAGACTGATCATTTGAAATGAAACAGAGTCAAGCACCATAACCAGCATAATACATACAGCACTCAGCTGAGTCCTCAACGTATCAAAAGCACTCAGTCAATACTAGCTGCCACTGTTGTTGATAATGCTATTGTTTTTTTCTTGTTCCTGTCACTCTAGGATGGCTGAACTCTAGAATAACCTGCAATAAATCTACCATAAGAAGTTGACTGTCTCTACACTGGACTAAAGAGCATCTGGGGTACAAACCATGTGAGCCATCACATAGAAAGACGTACTGTAAGAGAATGAGTAGACATAGAAAATAATAAGCTCAGGGTCAAAAACTAAGATTCACAAAATTAGGAGAGGATATGACAGGTGATATGGGGAAAAATGAATTATATTCTCAAATATAAGAAAAATCAAAGTTAATAATGTAAAATAAGTTCCTTCACAACAGAACATCTCAGAGTCTTAAATAGGCTAATGCACAATAAGTCTTTCCTCGGTAAAATTCTATGTAGCGTCTTCTACACAATAGAATTATTTTCCCAGAAGGCATTGCTATGACATTTGAGAAAATGGTGTTTTAAGGTTTATGGCTGACCCTCTCATCTTTGTAGCCATTATTCCTAATGATTGATGATATTTGAATCATCTAATAATCAATATAGTTTAAGACTAGCCATAGCTCTGGAGTGAAGTGGGTCCTCAATGTCCCCTGCTAAGCCTATTAACCCTTTTGTTGCTAAAGTATGAGGAGGTGGGAGGGGACCTCAAATGAGTGGGTCAGCTGCAATGAGTATTCACTAAATAGTATTAAAGGATTTCAGTATTTTAAGAAGCAATATGGCTGTACTATTATATACCAGATGACTATCAACCCTGTCTACATTTGCCAAACAGAAAAAGCAAGATGAAGTGGATTTTCAAGGACTACAAACCAGTAAATGGAAAAGCTGGAATTCGAATCTGGATCCAAATCTTCTACTGCTTTCTCTCTGCCTCCCACTTTCTTTACTTGTGCGTTCCTTTTCACATCCTATGGGCCACCCCAGTTAAAGACTCAGACAAGGGAAAGAATGCCAGATTTGGAGACAGGGTCTTATATTCAAGTCCTACTTCGGTTATTTATTAATTGTGAGACTTTAGGCAACTCTCCTAATCCAACAAGACTTAGTTTCTTCAATGGGGAAATCATGGTGATCACACCTACACATCAGGGCAGTTGAAAAAGTTTGTAAAATATTAAGCACTATTCAGATGTTAGCCTTTCACAGTATTTGCAAATTGGCATTTTCTTCTTAAAAATGTGTATGTTGGAATTGTCATTCTTTTTCCAGATAAGGAAACTCACACTTCACAGACATTAAATTATTTACCACAGGTCACAGCTAGTGATGACAGAGCCAGAACTGATTTCAAAGCTCTTGACTTCTGATTCATGGTTATTTGCTGGGCAGCCTCCTCTAAACTCCTACCATGGGCTTCCTATAAAAAGAGAAATGTGAATGACCTTAAACTACAGTCACAGCACTGTTGACAGGCCACTGTCATCAGCTCCATCCAAGTTTGTAGGAAGAAGTCCTGGTTTTGGCCCAGCACACATCTTCTAAAGTTCAAGATGTACCTAGCCAATTGCTAGGTCACTCCAGCTGCTCTGGGACTAGAAGTCAATCTAGCGCCTCTGGGACTGGAATAGCAGAAAGTGGTTTGATGCTACTTCTGCATAGATATAGCTGGGCAGCCTTCTCTAGCAGGAACAAGGACTAGTGCCATACCCTACTAGGGCCAGATTTTCAAGCCCTCATCTGCCTTAGGCCAAAAGGGTCATGCTTTCTGGTATGACTATCAAGAGAGAAAAGTTATTCTCAGCCTATGAAGATTTCGGGTGAAGACAACACTCACTGAAAAGCAACAGAAAGTCAAATGGTATGAATATTTCCTAGACCCAGAACTCTAGGCAAGTTGAGTAAAGCCATGTGGTTTTGTGAAATAAACCTGGCTTTGGAGTCAAATATTTTTGGATTCAGAAACCAAGTCTTTCACTTACTAGCTCTGGTAGTCATTTGCATCACCTCCAAAATGTCTGGTTCTATCCTGCAGACACATGGTAGAGCTATACTTCCTGGCCCACCTGTGAATAGGTAGAGTCATACAACTAATACTAGTCAGAGTATGATAAAAAGAAGGGATGGATATCACTTCTAAGTAAAGCATTTGTTGCTGGTATGACACTCTCCAGAGATGCCTTTCCTTCTGGCATAGGAATATTTGTGACGGTTGCTGCTCTGCAGCCTGGATCCCTAAGTATAAAAACCAAGGCATTCCTGCTGACTCCTAGTGAATAAGTATTACAAGCAAAAAATAAATCATTACATTTTAAGTTACTGAGTGTATTAGTCAGGGTTCTCTAGAGGCACAAAACTAATGTGATAGATATATTTATAAAGGGCAGTTTATTAAGTATTAACTCACATGATCACAAGGTCCCACAATAAGTGGTCTACAAGCTGAGGAACAAGGAGAGTCAGTCTGAGTCCCAAAACTAAAGAACTTGGAGTTCGATATTCTAGGGTAAGAAGCATCCAGCACGGGAGCAAGATGTAGGCTGGCAGCCTAGGCCAGTCTTGTCTTCTCACATTTTTCTGCCTGCTTTATATTCTAGCTGCTCTGGCAGCTAATTAGATGGTGCCCACCAACATAGAGTGGGTCTGCATTTCCCAGCCCATTGACTCAAATGTTAATCTCCTTTGGCAACATCAATACTTTGCATCCTTCAGTGTAATCAAGTTGATACTCAGTATTAACCCTCACACTGAGATTTAGAGATTATTATTACAGCATAATCTAACATATCCAAACTGATACATTAGCTATGCCATTTTTAGTAAGGTATTTAACCTCTCTGAGCCTAAGTTCCTGATACTTAAAATAAAAATAAACACTTTTTCAGGGTTGTGGGGATTATCAATGGTTTATGTAAAGAAGTAGCACATATTTGGTCCTCAAGCAATGTTACCTGTTACTATTATCAAAACAGGGAGAAAAGCAGGTAGAAGCAAAATATCCTTAAGACATACACAGTTTGGAGACTCCACTCCTCAAGTCACCTAGATACAGAGTTGGCAGCCAGGTCAGTAGCTAGCAGAAGGCTCCTAAATGCCTCCAGCCAATCATTCATTCATTCACCTTAGCGATATACAGTGAGTATGTGAACAGTGTCAGTATGTGACAGATATATGTAACAGACATACTGTCACTGTTCACGTACTCACTATATGCTGATAAGGTGAACTGAACATAAAATGCAAAACAAAGTCCAGAAAAAACAAAGTCCTGACTCTCCTGAACTTCACCTGTACCATCTAATACATTTAAATACCTGTGTTTTTTTTAAGATGGCAGAAAATGCCCCATTGTTACATTAATTACAATAAATGCAAATGAAGTGAACTTACCCAAAGAAGTTCTTGTATTACATTTAAGAGAGAAGAAAAGAAAGGAGCAATAAAATCTAACCACATTCAGCAATGTATTGCCTGCAAGAGACTTTTTTTTAATATTATACTTTAAGTTCTGGTGTACTTGTGCAGAACGTGCAGGTTTGTTACATAGGTACATATGTTTGCTGCAACATTTTTCTTAATTGCACCTTCACAGAGAACAAAAAGTTTGGAATTTGATCCTTTGTATTTTAAGGTTTTTTGTTTTTTTGTTTTTTTTTTCTTGGGGAAATGTTTGCACATTTTAACATTTAATTTCCACTGCACACTAAAAAGTAAGAAAATTTACTACTATATAAATTCACAGGTGGGAAAACCAGGGCAGGGGAAGTTTTTGTTTTGTTTTGGTTTGGTTTGTTTTTTTCAGCATCCAGTGGCACTGCTAGGTCTAGGATCTATACTCTCATAGAGTCTTAATTAAGGATTTATTTTTTCTAATCCCAGGTTGACAACAAAGATCTGATTCACCATTTTAGGAGGCATGGTGGGCAGATCACTTGAGGCCAGAAGTTTGAGACCAGCCCGGCCAATATGACGAAACCCTCTCTCAACTAAAAATAGAAAATTTATCCAGGCATTGTGGCACACGCCTGTAATCCCAATTACTGGGGTGGCTGAGGCACTAGCATTGCTTGAATCTGGGAGGCGGAGGTTGCAGGGAGCTGAGATCTTGCCGCTGCACTCCAGCCTGGGCAACAGAGTAACATTCTGTCTCAAAAAAAAAAAAAAAGATTTGAATCACCATTTTGCCTAAGAGATGCTCCTGGATAACTTCTATGTGAAAGTGCTCCAGATGAAAGGCCTAAGAATGCAGTCATTCTCTGATTGTAACTCAACATGAACAGGATACTAGACAGAAGTGCCCCTGTATCAAATTCTGCCTATTAGTGGACCAAATTTCAGGAAGTCCCTACTTCATAACTCTATGTGTTGAAAGATACCTAAGTACACTTCTAATGGAGACACTTTTACTAGACTGGCATAGAATATAATAAGAAAAGACCAAAACAAATGGTCCCTGATTTGCTGGTGTCTTTCATTTGAATAAATTTCCTAAAAAACTAGGCCACATCTAAGCTCTCACCAATAGCTCAGTATTTCCCTCTAAACCCATACCTTGAAATCCAGCAAATGAGGAACCAGTTCAAACGACATCTCTTTACTGAAAATTTTTTTGATTGCCCTATTAAAAGTGATCACCAATCATATTTTGTATCTCAATCTGGCACATGCTATATCCTGAAGTCATATTCATATGGCAGAGAAACAGATGGACGATGCTGGGACTCCACATAAGGATATCATAAAAAATAAAATAAGAAACATAGACTGAGGTAACTTGTGGAAGGTCCCTAAAAGCCAAATTAAAAAATTAGATTCCTCTATAGGCTAGAGTAGCTGCTAGGAAAACTGGAGATCACTTGTGCTTCTGAAGGAGAGAAAGAAGGTGGAGTGGAAATCATAGTTTTGATAATGTGAAATGATTGAGAATCTTAACAGTTATTTTTGTCTTGGAGACGTTTTTAGATCTACATTCGACTAGCCAGTTTTGCTTGAAGTCCAATAAACAAGCCGGTAGTATACAATTGCAACTGAACACCTGAATGGTTACGACTGGGAAAATCGTCTCTGCAGCACCATCATCTGTGAAATTTTGGAGGAATTCTCCGAGATCGCTACTTTCACGGACAATAGCTCCTACTTTCCAGCAACCCCGGAGGCTCTGAAATATAAAGTACTCTTTCTACAAAGTTAAGTAGTTGATTTAACCAGATACTAACTGCCTTTGGAAAGTAAATTTGTGCTTATACAGGTATCATTACAGTCACCAAGAGATCCTAGGTGTCCTTAGTAAGCAAACCCATTATTCATTTACAACCAACACTGCATTCCTTTTCCTAAGTGGCATGTGAAATCCTGAGGTGCTCTCACTTCTACGTGTAAGACACACAGACTGCTCTGCATGAATCGAACCAGGAGTGGTCAGGATGGACTTGTAGCATCTCCCAAGTGAAATCATCATGGCTCCCCTCCATCAGCACTGACTCCAACTCACCAACTGTGCTTGGAACAGCTTCGCATTCTATGTCGTTGGAAATCTGTTGCCCAAGCCAACTCGCTGTCACGAATCCGGTCATGTCGGAGCTGAACATCTTTGACGAACCGTCACCATTTTGTTTTTCCCGCGCTTGCCCCAAGAGCTACTTCCCTTCCAGCTGGGTCAGCCAAAGGCCTCTCTGTCCCTCAGTCTTCCAGCGCCCCTCTATGGTACTCCTGCTGTACTGCAAATAACGTATTCTCATCTTTTCATTGTTCCCCATTTCTCCCCAACTACTCTTTGCTACCTGCAGTAAGTAAAGCACCAGCCTTACCCAAATTGCACTTTTAATTTTCTCTGTAACAATGATCTTCCCACTTTTGGTTTACTCACCAAAAGATTGAAAGCTAAGTACCTATTCACATATTTTATAAATGTCCTCTAAAATTTTTCATAATAAATTTAAATAATTGCAAAGGGTGATGTTTCCGGTGTATTGTAAATAACAACATTTAAAAACAAAACTGTTGCATCTTTTTATAAATTCGTGCAATGAAAGTTAAATACTCTAGCAACTTGATATGCAACTATTTAAAAACACATAAATGAACATTTAATATACATGCTACATCATTGCTTTTTTTAGGCATCAAAAAGAATGCCCCTCACAGAATTTACCAAAATCAAATATATCTTTATGCTATTTTAATCACCCTATAATACTCTCTGCAACTAACATATGTATGTTATTTGAAATATGAATTTATTTTTAATTGCCTGTATCCATAATCCTCTCATCCGAATAATTTCTTGTAAACTAGCCATTGAAATTATTAGTAGTACACAATTGTTCCAAACACATATATTACAAAGTTCAATAAATAAATAAATTGAACATAAAAAGTAACATTTTATTGGACATATGTCTTTTAATAAGATGAGGGTTTTTTCAATTAGTTCACTAAATAAAAATTATTATTTTAATATGATACAGTTCAGTATCAATTTTACTTTGATGTTTTTTACTTTTATAAATAAAATTACTGAAAAAAACATAGTCATAGAAATATGTATAGAAGGAATTTTGTTATAGCAATAGACTTTAATTATTTGAACTCTTTTAAGTTACGTAGCAAAAATCCCACAAGGAATCATCTTCAAGAGCCATTTTAATAATTTATGAACTGGCTACTTTTATTGAAAACAAGGCATTGGAAGCCACTTGAGTTGCAAAAGGTCTATAATCTGACAAAATCATCCACTTTCTGAAATCTGGAAAGTACAGCAAAAAGGCTTCATCCACAGTAGTAAAAAGATTGATATGTCTTTTTCACTTTGAGGAAACTTGTTTAACCCAATATATATAAAAAGGTTTGAAAAATTCGAAATAATATTGACTTGAAATGTGAAAGCAGGCACCATGTCCAGCCATGAAATTGGCAAGAAGACCCTGAAACAGCCCTGAAAGCAGGCCAAGGAGATAGAAAAGGAAGATAAAGATTTTTCAAGCAGAAACCAAAAGAGGAGCAGAAGAAACTCAAGAAGCTAAAATCAAAGGCCATGAGAAAGGCCTTTGCTTCCTCAGGTGGAATTAAGGAATTAATAAATCTAGGAAACCATAAACTGTTCCTTGCACCTGAGGCAATGGTGCCCCTTGATTCCATTCATATTTGAAGATCTGCCATAACATGTCTTGTCACCTGGCTAGAATAAAATGTTGTCTTGGAGTCTGTCGTACATTTAAGAATAAACTATTGTAAAAAAAATTACATTGTCACATATTTTTCAATAAAATTATTTTCTCTTCATTTGTGCTTTAAATGCACTTGCAGATTTTACTCATTCAACAAGTGGAGAATGTCCCTCATATAACTAATTGCCAAAGCCAATCCTTGTCAAATTAAGTCAAACAGCCAAGTCAGATGTTGTTGCAGAAGAAGTCTGAAATTAAAGAAGTCTTAAATTTAAGATTATTACTTATGAATTCTAAATACAAAATAAGAAAGAGAGAAAGGGAGGACATATAGGTTTTTTTTTTTTCTTTAAGAGACAGAGTCTTGCTCTGTTGCTCAGGCTGGAATGCAGTGGTGCTATCACAGCTCACTGCAGCCTCTAACTTTTGGGTTCTAGTAATTCTCTTGCCTCAGCCTCCCAAGTAGATGGGACAAATGAGCACCAACACACCCAACTGATCTTTTATTTTTATTTTTTGTATAGATGTGGTCTAGCCTTGAAATTCTAGTCACAAGGAATCCTCCCACCTTGGTATTCCAGAGCACTAAAATTACAAGCATGAGCCACCATGCCTGACCTCAGAAATAGAGCCTTGTTATGAATGTGTTGCCTGGATGCATTAAAGTGCTATAGTCTTGTGTGTGTGTGTGTGTGTGTGTGTGTGTGTGTGTGTGACCAGGTCTTATTCTGTTACCCAGGCTGAGTGCAGTGACACAATCACATGTCACTGCTGCCTTGACCTCCCAGGCTCAAGCGATCCTCTCACTTCAGCCTCCCAAGTACCTAGGACTACAAGCATGCTAATTTTTTATTTGTAGAGACAAGGTAATGCTATGTTGCCGAGGCCAGTCTCAAACTCCTGGACACAAGCAGTCCTCCCACCTTGGCCTCCCAAAGTGCTGGGATTACTGGTATAACCATTGTACCTGGTCCAGTGCTATAATCATTAATATTCATTCATTCAGCAAGTATGTGTTGTATGAATGTACCAGAGTGTAGTTCCTAGGGATATAGCAGGGATATAGCAGTAATGGAAATAGATAAAAGTCTTTGATAGAATGGAGTTACTATCAAAAAAGATGGAGATTACAAGTGAAGTAGGTGTTGGGGAAAAGATAAATTCTCTTCTGGATATTTTGTTTGAGATGACTATTAGACATTCAAGCGGAATAATCAAATATGCAATTTGAATCTGAAGTTCAAAGAAAAAGTCAGGGTAGAGTCAGATTTGGGAATTTTCTTTTCTTTTTTCTTTCTTTCTTTCTTTTTTTTTTTTTTTTTTTTTTTTTTGTGATACAGAGTCTCACTCTGTTGCCCAGGCTGGAGTGCAGTGGCATGATCTCGGCTCACTGCAACCTCTGCCTCCTGGGTTCAAGTGATAGTCCTGCCTCAGCCTCCCGAGTAGCTGAAACTACAGGCGGCAGACATCACACCCAACTATTTTTTTGTATTTTTAGTAGAGACAGCGTTTCACCAAATTGGCCAGGCTGATCTCAAACTCCTAATCTCATGATCCACCCACCTTGGCCTCCAAAGTGCTGGAATTACAGGCATGAGTCACCATGCCCAACCTGGCAATTTTCTTCATACAGATAAAACTAGATGACATTATGAAATGAGTGTACATAGAAAGGACTAGAGATCCAATGTTAAGATAAATAGGAGAAAAGGATAAAAAGGAGACTATAAAACTGCAGCCAGTTAGGCAAAGGAAAACAGGAAAAAAGGTGGTATTCTGGAAGCCAAGGGATAAAATGATTTCCAGGAAAGTAGTAATGATCAACAATGTTATATGGTATTTAAGTTCAAGTAAGACAATGACTTTACGCTCTGGATTTGGTAAAATGAAGGTCTTTGGTGACCTTGACAAGAAAGGTTTTAGAAGATGATGCAGTTGATGGGGTTTAGGACAAAACATCCCAAAATGTGGTACCTTGACATTTGAAGAAACAGCAGAAACAAGACGGCCATTGTGTTCTTACATTTTGTGATGCTCCAGTAGAATACAACAGACTGGATAATTTATAAAAAGTAGAAGTTTACTTGGCTCTTGGTTCTGGAGGCTGGGAAGTCCAAGATTGAGAAGCTGCATCTCATAATGACCTTCTCACTACATCTTAATATGGTGGAAGACATCATATGGTGAGAGAGAGCAAGAAATGGCCCAACTCGATTCTATACAAAGCGACTCTCAGGATGAGCCAATTTCTGTAATAATGACATAAATTCAGTTATGAGGGCAGAGGCTTGTGACTTAATTACCTCTTAAATGTCTCACTTCTCAACACTGTTGCTCTGGGGATTAAATTTCCAATACATGTTTTTTGGAGGACACATTCAAACCATAGCAATCAGACTCACCTTTCCCTAACCCATCTCCCTTGAAGCAGGTAAGTAAAAAATTCTCTGACTTTTGAATGTAGGTCTAGGTCATCATAAAAACTTTATCCTGAGATGCCTACTCTATACCTCAAGGAAAGGAATGTCTTTATTATTGAAGATACAGAGATGCCAAGAAGAACCTGAATAAACAGGTTTTGCTAAGTTCCCATCAGCTTCTTAACATTAGATATGTCCTTTTGTCCTCCAATCATATTTCTGCATAACTTTTCATAAAAATACACAGGTGGCCGGGTGCGGTGGCTCAAGCCTGTAATCCCAGCACTTTGGGAGGCCGAGGCGGGTGGATCACGAGGTCAAGAGATCGAGACCATCCTGGTCAACACGGTGAAACCCCGTCTCTACTAAAACTACAAAAAATCAGCTGGGCATGGTGGCGCGTGCCTGTAATCCCAGCTACTCAGGAGGCTGAGGCAGGAGAATTGCCTGAACCCAGGAGGCGGAGGTTGCGGTGAGCCGAGATCGCGCCATTGCACTCCAGCCTGGGTAACATGAGTGAAACTCCGTCTCACATATAACAAAAAAAAAAAAAAAAAAAAAAAAAAAAAAAATACACAGGTTTCCCTCTTTCTTTCAGTCCTGATTTTGAAAGCTCTCAGGTAATGTAAAATTTATGTTAAACAAACTTATAGGATTTTCTTTTGATAATCTTCCCTTTGTTATAGGGGCCTCAGCCACGAATCTTGGGGTGGGTGAGAGGTAATATAACTTTTCTCCCCCACACAAGAAAAGATTCCGTTAAGTGAGTTCAAGACAGAATACAAGGAATGGAACTGGAGACAGTGAGTTGAGATACTGTCCTGAGGAGTTTTGCTGTAAAGGGGAGCAGAGAAATGAGACAATGCACATCCAGTAGGAGAAGTGAAGATTGAGAAGTTTGTTTTTGATTTTATGATAATAGAAATAGCAGTTTGTTTATATGTTAATTGGGAGTGGCCTAATAGATGGCAGAAAATTAGTAATTTGGGAAAGATGAAAGAATGCTTGGAAAATTATCTATGCATAAGCTAGGAAATGGGGTCTATTATGCAAATGGAGGCATTGGTCTTCTGCCTGTACCTGGAGAGTTTAACAGGAAAATGGCAAAGTATGCAGATATAAATTGTCAGTAGATACATTGACAATAATCATGATGAGAGTTTGTGAAAACGCTCTTGTGATTGCTTTAGTATTTTCACTGAGAATAGAAATCCAAAGGGAGATGTTGGGTCTTGAGGACTAAGAAAATTTATTTAAAAATCATCTATAAGAGCAGGCATATTTATCCATTCTCACATTACGATAAAGAAATACCTGATACTGGAAGCATGATGTTGGCATCTGCTTGGCTACTAGGGAGGCCTCAGGAAACTTACAAACATAGCAGAAGGCAAAGGGGAAGGAGGCATGTCTTACATGGCTGGAGAAGCAGCAAGGCAGGGGGAGATGCCACATACCTTTAAATGACAAGATCTCATAAGAACTCACTCACTATATAGTACCAAGGAGGGATGGTGATAAACCACTCATGAAGGATCACCACCATGAGCCAATCACCTCCCACCAGGCTCCACTTCCAACACTGAGGATTACAATTTAACATGAGATTTGTTGGGAGCACAGAAACAAACCATATCATTCCACTCCCAGCCCCTTCAAATTTCATATCCTTCTCACATTGCAAAATGCAATCATGCCTTCCCAACAGTCCGCAATGACTTAACTTCTTCCAGCACTAACTCAAAAGTCCAGTCTCATCTGAGACAAGTTCCTTCCACCTATGAGCCTGTAAAATCAAACACAAGTTGGTACTTCTAAGATACAATGGAGGTGCAGGCATTAGGTAAATACTCCCATTCCAAAAGTGAGAAATCAGCCAAAAGAATGGGCCATGGGCCCCATGCAAATCTGACCAAAAACCAGCAGGGCAGTCATTAAACCTTAAACCTCCAAAATAATTTCCTTTGTCTTCATGTTTTCCATCCAGGGCACACTATTGCAAAGGATGATCTTCCAAAGCCTTGGGCAGCTCTGTCCCCATGGCTTTGCAGAGTTCAGCCCCCACAGCTGCTCTCATGGGCTAGAGTTGAGTGCTTGTGGCTTTTTCAGGCACATGGTACAAGCTATCAGTAGCCCTATCATTCCAGGGTTTGGGGGATGGTGTCCTAATTCTTTTTTTTTTTTTTAATTATTGTGCTTTAAGTTCTGGGGTAGATAACACAGGATTGTTGCATAGGTACACACATGCCACGGTGGTTTGCTGTCTCCATCCCCCTGTCACCTATATCAGGCATTTCTCCCAGTGTTATCCGTTCCCAAGCTCCCTGCCCCCTGCTGTGCCTCCCCTAGCCCCCCACTCCCAAACAGACCCCAATGTGTGATGTTCCCCTTCCTGTGTCCATATGTTCAACATCCACCTATGATTGAACACATGCAGTGTTTGATTTTCTGTTCTTGCATCAGTTTGCTGAGAATGATGGTTTCCAGGTTCATCCGTGTCCGTACAAAGGACACAAACTCATCGCTTTTTATGGCTGCATAGTATTTCATGGTGTATATGTGCCATATTTTCACTGTCCAGTCTATCATCAATGGGCATTTGGGTTGGTTCCAAGTCTTTGCTATTGTAAACAGTGCCTCAATGAACATACATGTGCATGTGTCTTTATAATAGAACGATTTATAATCCTTTGAGTATATACCCAGTAATGGGATTGCTGGATCAAATGGAATTTCTATTTCTAGATCCTTGAGGAATTGCCACACTCTCTTCTACAATGGTTAAACTAGTTTACACTCCCATCAACAGTGTAAAAGTGTTCCTATTTCTCCACATCCTTTCCAGTATCTGTTGTCTCCAGATTTCTTAATGATCATCATTCTGACTGGCATGGGATGGTATCTCAATGTGGTTTGATTTGCATTTCTCTAATGACCAGTGATGATGAGCATTTTTTTCATTTATTTCATGGCCTCATAAATGCATTCTTTTGAAAAGTGTCTGTTCATATCCTTTGCCCACTTTTGAATGGGTTTTAATCTGTTTTAGTTATTTGTAGATTCTGGATATTAGCCCTTTGTCAGATGGGTAGCTTGCAAAAGATTTTTACCATTCTGTTGGTTGCCAGTTCAATTTAATGACTGTTTCCTTTGCTGTGCAGAAGCTCTTAACTTCAATTAGATCTCATTTGCCTATTTTGGCTTTTGTTGCCATTGCTTTTGGTGTTTTAGTGATGAAGTCCTTGCCTATGCCTATGTCCTGAATGGTATTGCCTAGGTTTTCTTCTAGGGTTTTTATGGTGTTAGGTCTTATGTTTAAATCTTTAATTCATCTGGTGTTAATTTTAGTGTAAGGTGTAAGAAAGGGGTCCAGTTTCTGCTTTCTGCACATGGCTAGCCAGTTTTCCCAACACCATTTATTAAACAGGGAATCCTTTCCCCATTGCTTGCTTTTGTCAGGTTTGTCAAAGATCAGATGGTTGTAGATGTGTGGCATTACTTCCAAGGCCTCTGTTCTGCTCTACTGATCTATAACTTTGTTTTGGTACCAGTACCATGGTGTTTTGATTACTGTAGCCTTGTAGTATAGTTTGAAGTCAGGTAGCATGATGCCTCCAGCTTTGTTCTTTTTGCTGAGGATTGTCTTGGCTATGCAGGCTCTCTTTTGGTTCCATATGAAGTTTAACGTGGTTTTTTTCCAGTTCTGTGAAGAAGGTCAATGGTAGCTTAATGGGGTTAGCATTATATCTATAAATTACTCTGGGAAGCATGGCCATTTTCACGATATTGATTCTTCCTAACCATGAGCATAGAATGTTTTTCCATCTGTTTGTGTCCTCTTTTATTTTCCTTGAACAGTGGTTTGTAGCTCTCCTTGAAGAGGTCCTTTACATCCTTTGCTAATTGTATTCCTGGGTATTTATACTCTTTGTATCAATTGTGATCGTATTCCAAGGTATTTATACTCTTTGTAGCAATTGTGAATAGGGGTTCACTCATGATTTGGCTATCAGTTTTTCTGTTATTGGTGTATAGGAATGCTTGTGATTTCTGCACATTGATTTCGTGTCCTGAGACTTTGCTGAAGTTGCTTGTCAGTTTAAGGAGATTTTGGGCTGAGATGATGGGGTCTTCTAAATGTACAATCATGTCGTCTGCAAATAGAGACTAACTGAATCCCTTTTATTTCTTTTTCTTGACTAATTGCTCTGGCTAGAATTTCCAATACTATATTGAATAGGAGTGGTGAGAGAGGGCATCCTTGTCTAGTGCCAGTTTTCAAAGGGAATCCTTCCAGTTTTTGCCCGTTCAGTGTGATATTGGTTGTGGGTTTATCATAAATAGCTTTTATTATTTTGAGATACATTCCATCAACACCTAGTTTATTGAGGGTTTTTAGCATAAAGGCTACTGAATTTTGTCAAAGACCTTCTCTGCATCTATTGAGATAATCATGTGGTTTTTGTCTTTGGTTCTGTTTATGTGATAGATTATGTTTATAGATTTGCAGATGTTGAACCAGCCTTGCATCCCTGGGATAAATCCTGCTTGATCATGATGGATAAGCTTTTCGTTGTGCTTTTCCATTTTATTTGCCAGTATTTAATTAAAGATTTTTGCATTGATGTTCATCATGGCTATTGGCCTTACATTTTCTTTTTCAGTTGTGTCTCTGCCAGGTTTTTGTATCAGGATGATGTTGGTCTCATGAAATGATTTGGGAAGGATTCTCTCTTTTTGTATTGTTTGGAATAGTTTCAGAAGGAATGGTACGAGCTCCTCTTTGTACTCTTGGTAGAAATCAGCTGTGAACCCATCTGGACCTGGACTTTTTCCGGTTGGTAGGCTATTAATTGCTGCCTAACTGCAGCCCTTGTTATTGGTCTTTTCAGGGTTTCAGCTTCTTCATGATTTAGTCTTGGGAGGGTGCAAGTGTCTAAGAATTTATCCATTTCTTCCAGATTTACGGTTTTATGTGCTTAGGGTTGTTTGCAGTAATTTCTTATGGTAGTTTTTATTTCTGTGGGATCAGTGGTAATATCTCTTTTATCGTTTTTTATTGCATCTATTCGATTCTTCTCTTTTTTCTTTTTTACTAGTCTGGCTAGAAATCTATTTTGTTGACCTTTTCAAAAAACTAGCTCCTGGATTTATTTATTTTTTGAAGGGTTTTTGTGTCTCTATCTCCTTCATTTCTGCTCTGATCTTAGCTGTTCTTGTCTTCTGCTAGCTTTTGAGGTTTTTTTAATCTTGCTCCTCTCTTTCAATTTTGATGATAGGGTGTCAATTTTAGATCTTTCCTTG